GACACCTATGAGAAAGAGAGAGCACTGTATGTGGTGTATTTGATATGCCTGCTCTGATCCTGCTGTTTTGCATTCTTCCTTGAGTCTCAATGAGAAAGGTAGACTACAAATAAAATAAATAAAAATTCCCAGCAAGTTGATGTTAATTTGGTAATATGGTGAAGTGGTTCAAGTTTGGAGCTAATTTGCCTTTTGCCAGGCTCCTAGAAAAAACGCCTGTTACTTTCCCCTTAAGCATTCTCCCCAGGGAGCTCATGCTTTCCTTCCATCTTGCACGTCATCGACCCAGAAATTATCCAAATTCTTTTTCTGATTTAACACTCACTAAACTTCTGCCTAAAGGATAGTAACACGGGCTTGAAAGATGCTGAAAGAATAAGCCACATTTGGTAGTTGTGCCAGTAGACTTCAGCTATGTATGAAAAACAGAGTTGTTTTTAAATCACAAACACAGACATGAGCACTAGGAAGTAATACAATTCAATAAAATGAATGCATCTATTTTTCATTTCATTTATTACACTCCATAGTCAGCCAACACTAATGTAAAAGCACAAACGAAACACAAAACTGAGCCGGCCATGGCTGGGAGGGTGGGGTATAAATAAATAAATAAATGAACTATATACTATTAGCCACCCATGGCCAGCCTCTGTGGATTGCCGCTATGTGGAGGCTAAAGAGATTTTCCTGCACACTTGGGGCATTCCGTAGGTTTGCAGAAAAATCTAAAAATACAAAAATCTCTAAAAATCTAAAAATAGAAAAATACACACGGGGGTTTAAATCCCTGCAAAGTAAAAGTAAAACAGCATTCTCTGCACTTGCACAGAGAACGCACTTAGCTCTGGCAGCCAGTGGCGGTGGCACTGGGAAGACACACTGGGTTTGGCAGTAGCACAACTAGGGAAGCCTCGCTGGGCCCAGCGGCATTGGCTGCACAGCCCAGAAGCCCACTGAAGAAGAGAAGAAGAGATTGGATTTATACCCCGCCCTTCACTACCAAAAGGTGTCCCAGAGCGGCTTACAAACTCCTTTCCCTTCCCTTCCCCACAACAGACACCCTGTGAGGTAGGTGGGGCTGAGAGAACTCTGACAGAAACTGCTCTTTTTTCAAGAACAGCTGTGCCGGAATTATGGCTTGCCCAAGGTCATACAGCCAGGTGGAAGTGGAGGAGTGGGGAATCAAACCCGATTCTCCCAGATTAGAGTCCGCGCACTTAACCACTACACCAAACTGGCTCTCTGAGCCCAGAAGGAGCTGCTCCAGCCTGGCCCAACCCAATGGCAGAGGTCAGCAGCCTCAGCAGAGGAGGCCAGCAGTTACGGTGAGCCAGGCCGCAACACCAGAGGGAGCCAGCAGCTGCATCAGTCCCAGTTGTGGTCGCAGACAAGGCTTGCAGCCTTGCTGAGCCCAGCCGCTGCGGTGGCAGATGCCAGGAGCCACTCTGGGCCCCACTGTCACAGTACACATCAGAAGCCACTCCAGGCTTGGCTGCGGCATCGGTGGACACCAACCATTACTCTGGGCTTGGCTGCAGCATCAGCAAATGCTGGGAGCCACTCTGGACTCTGCCATGGCAGTGGCGGATGCTGGGAGCTGCTCCAGGCTCAGAGCTGCTCCCAGACACCACCAACACTGCAGCCAGGCTCCAAGGTGAAGCCTGAACACAACAGCTCATCCATGGGAGGATAGGTTCCCCCACCCGGGCAGGTTTTGCAGGCCCTCCCTTGTAAAACATATAAAAACAATTTTAAAAATTGAACTTCATTAAATACTAGTTTCAGTGATACAAGGTGATTAATAAAAAGATTGAAGCATATACTTCCTTATGAACTATGAATACATCTCATAGTCCTTAACTCCTTATTTCAGTACAATCTTTCAAAAAATCACAGATCTTAGGGTTTGCTGATGATGGCAAATTCACATCTGGTGGACATGCCCTATAATGCAAGAATACTGATATGTTCGGAATCACTATAGATACCCTTCAAGATCACTTGCTTTAGTCTGTGTTTAGTGTGTTAGAAGATCTGCTAACAAACCACAGTAGGACAGACAGTTATATCTTACAATTGGCAGAAGTCTAATTCACTCAACTAATGGTTGCAGAAAATTTAAGACATTGCTAAAAGGACATAGTTGGCACAATCAGGATGAGGCCAGATAGACAAAAAGCCTGTGTGTTGTTTTTTTTTAGGGGAGTTGATTGCCTTCCATTGGGATTCCAGGAATAGAGATTCAATTAGTGTTCTGTCCCCTTTTCTCCAGAAATTAGAGAAAGAAAACAAAGGCTATCAAAAGAATATTTGAATTACTAGCTTGTCAAATATAAGTGCTCCTTTTTTGTTGTAGCAGAAGTATTATCTTTAATCAACAAAATGAGGTTATAGTACTTAGAAGTGTTTGTTAACCTTGTTTGTGCAAGGTTGATCACTAGGACTATTGAAACACTTGATGGTCCCTTAATTCTAAGGGCCTGTTTATTTATAACCTTTACCTAGTAACCCTTATTTTAAGGCTACACACCTCTTTTTGATGGTTCCATGTTGTCTACTTGGCCACTTACAAGTTCTGTAGCATTGTCACGTTTATCAAATTCATTTAGGCATGTAGCTGCACATTTTTTAAACCCATAGCTTGTTGGTATAAAGTACATGGATTTAGAGAGCTCTCTAGTGGTAGAAGTTCTGAAACACAGCATTAAAAACATTTATATTAGTCAAAACTAGTTCATACATTTACACCACTGTGAACCCACCTTCACATCATGAATCGGTAGCTCCTAGATCTAACTAGTCTCAACACACGATAGCTTATTGATCCAAAATTATCATAGCTGTTAACCATTGATGCTCATATTATGAGTTTTGCATCTCATACATAATACCTGTAAATGAAAAAAGTGAAGCAGTGCTGTTTATGTAGCACCGTAATCTGGCTGGTTTATGATGTGGGGAATGTTTTAATGTACTGGTCTGTTGATTTTGATGCAGTTTTAATTGAGGTTAAATGCTGTACATTATGGATTGTTACACACTTCCTTTGTTGTAACCCACTCTGGGGATTTGTTAAGAAGGCAAGGCGGACTATAAGTGCTTTTAATACTATATCAAAAAGACAGTTCGGCTGTCCTGCAGGCTTCCAGTTGTGAGGGATACTTTCCAGCTTGTTAAACTTGAGAATGTGGGCAGGACCCTTAGAGAAATGAAACGGGCTTCACCACTGACCTTTCTGGCTGGTTGAAAATGCTGGGGATGGGAGGGGGAGCTGGTTGGATTGGAGAAGTCATAAGTCCATCCTTAAGAGACAGCAATGTTCCCTCTAAGCCCCACAGTGCTGTGAGCAAAACTTCTACCTCATGAGCAAAAAAAGCTAATAGAATTAAAGTTTTGAGCGAGTCTACATTTGACTATCGCATAAATTACTTTTTAGATTGTTACCATAACCTTGTAAAAATCTCAGAATGAATTCTTTTAAACTATATTTAAACTATATTTTAAGAATAATGTAAACATTATAAGAGAAAACAGAATCAAGTCAAATTTCATTACAGAAAATGTTGTCCTCTGTGGGGATAGACCTGGCCTCCAGAGGTCTATAACCTGCCCCTGTCCACAATATTGGTAGATCTGGCTTCTGACTGTCGTCTTGTGCTGAGCCTTAGAAAACATACTAGCACTTGGGGGTGGGGACTCTTGCAGTCTACTTTTTTTTGGGGGGGAGGTTACTGAAATATGACAAATTACACGTATAACAGAGGTGGAACAATCACTGTAAGAACCCTGCCTAACCTAACAAACAGGAAATTGCTATCAACCTGCCCAAACTACTTATTTATTCAAATATTTATATCCCACTTTTCCTGTGACTCAAGGCAGCTTACAAATCATAGTGAAAAACATAACGGGGTGCAAAAAATCGATTTCTTTTTCTGGCTCCATTATAGCCCATGGGGACCATTATAGTCAATGGGCCCCATAGGCTATAATGGAGAATCAATCTGGGGCTATTTGGGGGGCTGGGTTTTAGGTAGAGGCACCAAATTTGTACAATATCTGCAGGTATCTCTCCTCAAACCTCCCCCCAAGTTTCAAAAAGATTGGACCAGGGGTCCAATTCTATGGGCCCCAGGAGGAGACATCCCCTGATCTCCATTGTTTTCAAGAGAGGACAAAATGCCTTAGTGTGAGCAGAAGCTAAGATCCCTGAGCTAGCAACCAAAATTCTGTGCACTAGCTCTCCTTAGTGCAGTTTAGAAGGAACTTTGTTTTTTGAAAGGCTTTTGAAAGAATCTGTGGTGGGGCTATTGTTGAAGAAGCCCTGACTTTCCAGTCTTAATTTCTGGCCAGTATTCTGTTCCTGGGCAAGACATTTGAGCAAGTGGTGTCAACACAGTTGCAGAAATTCCTGGAGGAAATTATATAGGCCTGTTTAGTCCTGGTTTTCGAGAACAAAATTACCTCGGTCATCTGAATGGATTATCCAGAGAAGGAAACTGGGAGCCAGGTGAGGCAGGTAGTATATCCCTGTTGTTTTTTCTCTACCTCTCAGCAACATTCAGTGTCTAGTATGCCATTCTTCTTTGTAGGGTAGGTTTCAAGAGGTGTTTCTGGCAGAATGTTGCTATTTCGCATGGCCATTGAGGTGCTGCAGAATTTGGCCTTGTCCCCTATGCCTTGTTTACATGAAGCTGCTGGGGAGGTTGCTTTGTTCATTATTACTTAATTTGATCTTGTTCTAGTTTTTAGTTGCTGTCTTCAGACATTGGCTCTTGTTGTTTTATAATACTGCTGTGTTTTTATTAAATCTGTAAGACATCCTGGAGGTCCTTAGGGAACAAAACCAAATTCTGGAACACCCCAAAGGCCATGGGATGGAGCAACATTTCCCCAGGATAGAAAAATACCCTAAGAAATACTTCTTAGTCGTTTATTATGAAGTGCATTTATAGTCTTACCTGTATACTGATTTACTTTGTCACTATTATTTTTAGATTTATGCAGAATTTACAAACAGAGGTACAAGAAATGGAATTTATCCAGTTTTCCAAAGGTCTAAGCTTCATGACAAAAGAGGACTTCCTCGAGTGGTTGTTGTATTTTACTGATGAGGAAAACAATGACACTTATTGGCAAAATGTGAAGGAGAGAATCCAGCCAGGAGAGGTTAGTACAGAGTGTCTAAACCTTATTTTTTCCCCCTAATATTGAATTGAAGATCATTGGTGCCAGATTTCTTTGCTTCATTGATTTTTTTCAATATTTCTGACTTTGAATTATTATGTATCAGTTTAATACCCATGATGAAATTTGGATGTAGTTTGCTTAATTGTAAGCCTCATCTAGTTCTGTTTTGGTATTCTAGTATATAAGTATAGAGGAATTTAAGACTTTCTGCCAGTTTACAAACCGCCTTGAAGACTTTTCAATCGCCTTGAAAATGTTTACTGTAGCCAACCGTCCTGTTAAACAAGGTAAGAAGTGCACAATTTTGTATATTTAAAATTTTAAAGATTATGATTATGTGCATGATTCCTGGAAACATGTACTCTAAATACCAGTATATGATGCTAGTATCCCCTTGTACAGGAGAATCCTACACCATAAGAACGTAAGAGAAGCCATGTTGGATCAGGCCAGTGGCCTGTCCAGTCCAACAGTCTGTCACACAGTGGCCAAATCCCAGGTGCCATCAGGAGGTCCACCAGCGGGGCCAGAACTCCAGAAGTGCTTCCACTGTTGCCCCCCAAACACCAGTTCACAATATCCAAACTGCAGTGGTTTATTTTGATTGCCAGAAGATGATTGCTAGGACAGTCATCAGTACTGCTCCTTAACCAAGCAAGCAGGCTGGTGCCACTGTTTAAGGCACTGGAAGATGGTGACTGGCCGTCCTCTTCCAGTGGGCAAGGCAAATAATGGTAAAGTGGCTCCAAACACATTCTTCCAATAAGAAAGTAGTATACCAAATGGTCCCCAAATGTCACATTTTCTGCTTCACACTGCACAAGAAGTTAAAAATATACTGATCTGCAAGTGCACTTAAGAGTCTGTGTTTATTCTGTCCCTTCTATTGTGCAAAAAAGGGACTTGCGACCTTCTCATTTTGGCTTTGTCTGCAGTATAGATATGCACACTCCCTGTTCTCACATTACAAGAAGTGATGAAAAGCTGGAGTCCACGAGCATGGCTCTACTGCCACTGTTTGTGCAACAGCTGAAGTGGCCCTTAAACAGCCTTTTTCAGAGCTGAACCCTCAAGGAGGGACTATATGGAGTCAGTTTACTGCTGTTCATCCTGATCATTTGAAAAAACACTCTAGTGGAATTCTAATTATGGTAGCTCAGAAATAACAATATCTGCCTTGCTTCACAAACATCCTAGTTTTTTTCTATTAGCTGTTGCGTCACCATAGCTTGGGTAGTGGTCATCTGTTACATCTACAACTGTAACTGTGCACACATAATACCTTGTATCTGAGCATGGATGGTATTGCTCTAATTGTATCTGATGAAGTGTGGCTCTTCGTACTTTCTTCCCCATTTTACATGTTGTGCATACTATCTTTGTTAAATACGGTAGGACCGCACGGAACGATCTTTACCTTGAAAATGTCATACCTTAAATGAAACCTTGGCCTGTAAAGTAATGCAAAATGGAAAAAAGAGGTCAAACACTGTCCTTCTTCTGCCTAAGGCATAGGCGTAATCTTCGTGGGGGCAGCGGGGCGTTAGCCCCCGCCGAAATTTTCAGGAAGGTGCTCAGCCTCCCCCGGGAGCCACCCTTGCTCCTAGCAAAGCAATGCCTCTGGCCCAGCCCCAGCCCCCCCCCCCGGGAAATTGGAAAGTCTACACCGTTGGCTTACTCTAACTGAAGTGACTCAGCTCCTTATGGGAGAGGAAGGCTTCCAGTTTTGCTCAGTGGAAGGGGAGAATAGGGGTAGGCTCCATCCCAGTATCACGGAGAATTACAGCGTTTTTTTAAAACTCTTCTTGAGCAACTTCCAGTAAAATAGCTGTTTTCAGCAAATTTTTATCCGTCCCCTATGAAAGCAGTGTTTCGAAAGCAGCCTTAACACTTGCATTATGCAACACTGTCAATAAGCCTGCATGCATTCTGTTCACACAACTCAAATAATGTGACAGACTGCTCAGAAGGAATAATTTATTTCTAAAATTCTTTCAGTACTGTAAAGAGATCCATAATCCTACCAGCTAGTTATCTTTTTTCCCTTTAGTTTTTACTATGCTATTTGTTGTGTATTGTGCTAGCTGAATTCAAAAGAGCTGTGAAAGTGGCCACGGGAGTGGAGCTCTCAGATAATGTTTTGGACACCATCTTCAAGGTTTTTGATCTAGATGGAGACCATTGCCTCAGCCATGCAGAATTTCTTGGAGTCCTAAAGAACAGGATGCATCGAGGTTTAAGGGTAAGTAACAAAGACTCAAAACATTTCTGTTGGATGTTTTAGATAACTTAAATGTATGCTGCTGTAAACAACTAACCACTCAAAGTACAGACGATATAAATGGAAACAAATGATAGTAAGGGAAGAGGAAGGAATTATAAATGAAAAATAGTGGGCTTCCTAATTAAAGTGAGCTTCTATAGGTCAGTTAATGCTGAGCTACAAATTAGGACATCACTGGTTTAATCTCACTTCTACCATGAACTCAAACAGTTAGACAAGCCACACTCTCAGTCTGTCTCCCATTGGTAAAATGGGGATAATATTGGTAAAGGTAAAGGATTATTGTAAAAATTACAGCAGGGGTGTCAAACATAAGGCCCGGGGCCAGAACTGGCCCATCCAGGGCTCTTATGCGGCCTGTGAGAAACTAGTGCCAGGGAGGGTAGAGGAGACTGTTTATGGGGGAGTGGGTGGAGTCACCCCAATTGTGGCTTCGGCCTGGCAGAACAACCTCATCTATAGCAGTCAAGCAGCGTGGGAAGCATCTGCCCAGTGCTGCACCACTGGATCTCCAGTCCACCCATATGGGTTTTCCTTTGCACACACACACCCAGCCTACGGGGCCTTGCAGTGAGGATACACCAACTCACAACTTATGGCACACATGGCCTTGGCCTGGCCCGACAAAATTATGTTTATGTCAGATCTGGCCCTCATAACAAATGAGTTTGACACCTCTGGATTACAGGATAATGAAATAATATTATTTTAAATTTGTTTCTTATTGATGTATGCTGCAAATTAGTCTCTTTTCCTGAATGCCCAAACTCATGCAGGGTCCATCTAATCCATTTCAATATAAGAATTTTTTTAAAGACAAGATATTTCAGAATCACTGGGGTTTGAATATAATCCACTCTTGGATCCATTATATCCAATTTGACTTTCAGATAAGCCTTATCATTTAGATTGCTGTAGCAGAGGCAGGGAGCAGGAGAGTTCTCTCTGTACCGAACATGCCTGTGTCAGCAGACTGGGGAAATGCCGATCTGCTTTAGGTGGAACACTCTTTTTAGCCCCTAAACATGAGAGCAAAACTCATCAGTTGACTCTTCCCCAAGACTTTACATCAGTTGATTACATCCTCAGGTTAGGTTGCCGATTGGTTCTGGAAGTGTGTCTCCCAGGTATATGGGAGGCTGGTTTGAACGGATACTTTTCCCCATGCGCTGTGGTTCAACCTAAAGTGGCTCCAGCAGAGTGCTACGTGCCCTTCTGGATACTCTGTGTACTGGTGGAGTCCGTGTAGGTGTCCTCAGTGGGGCAAAAGCACCCTCAAGACCGTTTTAGATTGGGAAAATGATGCAGGGAGGTTAAGTCCCCTTTCCATGCATGCCACAGTAAAAATCTCAGTCGGGTATATGTGTACCTACAAGGCATGGATTCCCAGAACACATATGCTGACCCAACCCAGAGGTGTAGGGGAGGGGCCTGTGACTCAGTGGTAGGGCATCTGCTTAGCATGTAGAAAGTTCAATCCCCAGCATCTCCACTTAAGGATCAAGTAGTAGGCAAAGTAAAATACCTCTGCCTGAAACCATGGAGAGCCCCTACCAGTCTGAGTAGACAATACTGACCTTGATGAACCAGTGGTCTGATTCAGTATAAGGCAGCTTCATATGTTCATGTCCCTGGGAGGGAACAGGTATTATCTGGTTAGGCCCCCAGCCATGAAATTAATTGGGCCATTCGCTCCCTCTCAGACTAATCTACCTCACAAGATTATTGCAAAAATAGAATGGAGGAAAGGTGGACCATGTATGCTCTTCTGAGATCCCTGGAAGATATTTACAGCAAATGTACTGAGTATGCAAAATAGCAAAGGCTGGCATTGAAATCTTAAGTGTGCAGATGCTAATACCTATGTCAGTCTTTTCACAGTGTAATTCTACATGGTAAATTGCCTTCAGGATTAGCTTTCACCATATGGAGAAATGCGTAGTATTCCACAACATTTTCTTTTACTCAAGTTAATATTCTCACTGTTTGTTAAATTTATAGCAGATGTTCCAAACATGGTGTCACTGAGCGCCATGGTGCACACCAAAACCTTTTACAGCTCCCACCAAGTGTTTTTAGAAAGTGGGCGGGACTGGGTGCAGCTTTTGCCCAGCAAGGCTTCTGATTGGCCACTGGAGATTTGGTTGGCTGTGTAGATTTTTTTTTTACAATGCCTGGCAGCAGCTGCCATCACAGCACTAGGGTTTTCACTGTGTGACTAATGGTAAGCTGAGGCAACCATTTGTAGCTGGTTCCACCTCCTGCAGCAGCCATTTTTCATGTCTGTGCCCACCATGCTGTGCCACAGGCTCAAAAAGGTTGGGGACCCCTGATTTGTAGCACGAGGAAAATAGATAGAGAACCTTCAGGGGAATTGCAAATTATGTGCTTCTCCCGACATCCAGTGAAATTTTATCAAAACTTCTATTGGATTTAATGGATAATAAAAGTTTGACAAGCAATCATATGGAAAGTTACTCTGTTCTAGGTCCACTGAAATCAATGGGCTAACACTGGAGTTACTCTACACAGAATTGCACTGTTAGGAACTTAATAAAAGTAGTGCAATGACTGCAAGTTTTTTTAAAACAGGTTCCTCAGCAGCAAGGAATCCAAGGCTATTGGAAATGCGTGAAGAGAGAGAGCATTAAAGGAGCCAAAGAAGTCTGGAAACAAACTGGGAAAAGTCCTTTTTAAAAACGCCCTGAAATACTTCGTCTAGTCTTCCATGTCTAGATTTGCCTCGTTTTATGTATTACAGTTTGTATGCTAGTGATAGTAGATACAGCATAGTAAAATCATTTCATACTGTTAAGTACTGAAAGTATTTATTTTCTCACTGTAATTTTACATCTGTATACTCAGGCTTGCCTATGGAACTGTTATGATTTTCCAGTGTGTTCCTAACCAGAGTTACTGCCTTCTAAGTCCATTCAAGTCTATGGGCTTAGAAGGGTATAATTCTGCTCAGGTAATATAAGTGTTCTTATTCTTTCATTGATCGACGTGTGCCAGGAATTTAGTACAAGTTTCTAGTCTGAAGATGTTGTGGAAAGAAGCTAGATCTTATTCACAGTGCCAGAAGAGCTAAGATGTCATGCTTTTAAGGACGGGAGAGAACAAAACATGAACCTACAACTTTAGAGTGAATTTCATGAAGCCAACATTATTTTAAAACTGAAGTCTTGAAATCACTGATTAGTAGCCCCTCTGAATTCACAAGCTTTGAGTGACTCCAGGATTGCAAATGTAACAAATCACAGTTAAGTTTGTACTGAAATGCTACTTCTAAAACACAATATTGAAATCAGTCTTGCCTAGAAATACTTGTTCTGTATGTTAGTGATATTTTTGTATATTCCTGTATTTTTGTTCCTAGTAATTTATACAATTTTTTAAAACTATTCTGATTGCAGTAGACTTTGGTTCTCAGTCCAGACTGGAAATATGAAAATGTTTACATAAACTGGCAATCTGTAAACTTGTGAATATGTATAGACTAAACACTTCCATGAAACGACGACTCTTCTTATGGATACAAATACAATTAATTGCACTTTTCTGATTTATCCACTTGGTAGCAAAAATGTAAAATGTTTGCTTTCCTTTTGAGTTGTCTCATATGTACCAGAATTTCTTCATTTGACCAGAATAACTTTACGGTAGTGTTTGGTTTTGAAAGAAGGCACTTTTGGAAAGCCTGTGAGGGCAGAAGCTACAGTGAGAAGACTGAGCATGCGCTATTCTTCCCAGTTCCCGAGCTATTTTGCAGCACCTCAGATGCTTCATAACAGTATTTAACTCTTTGCCTTGTTTAGGTATAAAATAGCACATTATGCCCTTAGCCTCCTTCCCCTAATTTAGATATATATTTTTTTGGCTACATTTTTAGAAGGTAGTGAAATCTGATGCTGGTTGTAGGCAATAAAAGGGCTTCCATTGCAGTGCCTGAGCATGCTCTGTTGTGAGCATGCTCAGTAGCATTTTGTTGCAAAATCAGGCAAGTGCTGTTGCTACAATACTCCTGGTCTACCACTAAGTAACTGGCAAGCCTTTCTTCTCTTTGTAGTTCTAGTAATTGTTTGCAACTAACACAAAATGTGTCAGTCCAGCTTACTAGTTTATCGTGAATTTGGGGGAAGGTAGAGAATCCAGAGGTGAGAGGCCTAAAATAGCATAAACTGAAATGAGTGTGTGTTAGCTGAATAGAACTAACAAATTGGAGAACATTAATCCATAGCTTCAAGAGCAGTGGCTGGTTGCTGCCAGGTTAGATATGGTGCCCTGATCCTCTAATTGCCAGTTCACAAGCAAGAAAGAGTGGTAGCAGCAAAGGGACTTGCTAAGAACCCATTGCAGGGGTGGTGGCAGCAGCAGTGCCAGCCTACATTCTCCATCTCCTTGCGGATGGAGGGGGCCATGAGCTATGAACACAGTTTCTACATGTTCACTGTAATTTATTTTTAAACTTTTGCTTACCTGCAATTACTGTATTGACTACATATATACATGTCTTTATGGGTAGGAGTTCTTAGAATTCCAGTAGCTCAGACAAGAGCAACTTTTTCTACTATTCGTTGAAAGATACATTAGCCATAAAATTCTCTGTTAGCACAAACACTCCACACTTCCGCAGAGGAAATAAACTTTGCCTCCGAAGACTAAATAAATTGATTCCTGTTAATCCAACATGGGAGCTCCTAAGGTATTGGGGGGGGGGACTCTAAACAAGAGCAAGATGATAATAGAATGACATTCAGGCTAAAAAAAGGGTTTTACACCCTCTGGGTTGAAGATGGTAACAATATGTCAAAAACAGATCCTTAGCTGTCTTAACAAATGGTGCAGAAAGGAAATTTATTATTGGAATAATGAGCAGTATAAAAGTCTGGGTAGAAGACACATCGTTCTGGAATGGACCTTGAGAGAAGCCACACTATGGTATAGGTGGAGGGGAAAGAGGGAAAGGTTAGGCCATTGTTTTGGATGCAGTAAAAGAAGACTTTGATCCCCCATCTAATATATTTTTCATAAAGTTTACAGTAGGAAGCTTTGGAAAGTCCACAGTATTAAATATCCAACTGAATTGCATCTGAGTAAGCATGCATTATTGTCTATGACTTGATAATGAATGTTCCCCTGCTAAAGGGCTTTTGAGTGTCACTGTCATCTCTATTCCAGGGAAGACTCTATGAACTTAAATCTGTGGTGATTTAATAGCAAGCTGCCCATTTGAAGGCAAGCTGTGCTTCTCTGAGAGGGAGTAGAATGCCAACGTCAGCTTCTTATTTGTCAATTTGCACTGCATGAGCACACATTGTGGTGGATTGCTATGTATAATACTACCCTGAAGGAAGTCCTAATGTTAGAACACCAAAAATATTGTTATTAATATCACATCCAGTTGCTCTGCATTGCTAAGCCTCCATCAACATACTCTGTATGTTTAGTGCTGTCTAAATTCAGAGCCACAAGCAAAGCTCTGTTGAGGGCAGGGGACAACTTTATCCCCTTGTCCTTCCTTATTCCAGTCACCCCTCAACCTATATGGGTCCTACAACCCCAGAGATGGAAGGATTAGAGAGGAATGCAGGGGAAAATTGTGTGCCTTCAAACCCAGATGGTTGGGTACATACCAGGATTTAGTGCAATTGGATTCTTTAGCTCTGGTTTTATTTTATAACATTAATAGCTGAAATCTGTGTCTCCTTATATTCTGTACTTTTTCACTTTTTAAACTCTGTATTGGTTTGTGTGACTTCTTCACTTGCTAATAAATTTTGACTTTAAAACATTTGCTAATTAAATGTTCCCATTGTCCTCTTAATGTCATAGTGGGGAAACACATTGAGTAATATTAAATGCTGGCCTGTTGCAAAGAAAATGAGACGGCACTGTGTCTTCATACAAAATATTTCCCTTGAAACAAGGTCAGACAGCCTGTAACTCACTGAGGTTGGAAGCACAGAGAGGAGTGGTACTGGCCAAGCATTATGTTTGCTTTCTGGGTTTCATAGGAAACCATGTCCTTGCCCCAGTTGGCCTCTTAAGCACCTCTGATCCTGCTGGAGGCAGAAGTTGTATGTATAAGCACAAGTGGCAATAAGAACAGAACATAAAGAACAACCCCACTGGATCAAGCCAGTGGTCTATCTAGTTCAATATCCTGTATCACGGTGACCAACTAATAGTATAGAGACCAGGTCCTTTCCCTGATGTTGCCTCCTAGCAGTGGTATTCAAAGCTTTGCTGCCTCTGAATGTGGAAATTCCCTTTACTCACCACGGCTAGTAACCACTGCTGGACGTATCCTCCATGAATCTTTAAAATCCCCTTTTAAAGCCATCCATGCTTGTGACCATGCCTACATACTATGGCTTTGGGTGTCTCCAGGTTCTAGTACTATGGGGAGAGGGATAAAGGTTTTGTTTATCCACTTTCTCCACCCCATGTATTATTTTATAAACCTCTGTCCCTCTCTTGTCTGTTTCTGAACTGCGAAATCCCAGACTCTCCAGTCTTTCTTCACAGGAAAGGTGCTCCGACCCTTTAACCACCTTAGCTGCCCTCTGCTGCAGTTTTTTCCACCTTTTGTTGTTGTTGTTCAGTCACACAGTCGAGTCCGACTCTTCACTACCCCATGGACCACATCATGCCAGGCCCTCCTGTCTTCCGCCGTCCTCTGAAGTTGGCTCAATTTCATGTTCGTTGCATCTATGACACTGTCCAACCATCTCATCCTTTGCCATCCCCGTCTTCTTTGACCTTCAATCTTTCCCAGCATCAGGGTCTTCTCCAGTGGGTGCTCCCTTCTCATTTGGTGGCCAAAGTATTTGAGCTTCAGTTTCATTATCTGGCCTTCCAGGGAACAGTCAGGGTTGATTTCTTTTAGGATCGACTGATTTGATCTCCTTGCAGTCCAAGGGACTCTCAAGAGTCTTCTCCAGCACCATAATCCAAAAGAATCTTTGGCGCTTGGCCTTCCCTATGGTCCAACTCTCCACCTTTACAATACCCTTTTTGATGTACAGTGATGAGAATTGAACACAGCGTTCCAAATGAGGCCACACTGTATATCTAGACAGCAGCACTACAATACATACTTGCAGTCTCTTTCCTGATAATCCCCAGCATAGTTTGCCTCTTTCACTGTTGTCACACGCTGAGTTGACATTTTCATAGAGCTATCCACTACAAACCCAAGATCTCTTTTTCTTTCCTTCTAGTTGCGGCCATTTCAAACCCTATCACGTAAGATTTTTTGTTCTAGTGTATATTACCTTATGCTTATCTGCACTGAACTTCAGTTGTCATGTTATCCACTCACCCAATTTAGACAGATCCTCATAGATCTCTTTACAATCTTGCCTTAGTTTTCACCATCCTGAATAATTTATAAGCAAAATGAAATGGTACCAATCCCTGTGGGTCCCTGCTCACTCCCTCCATTGAGAAGAAGAAGAAGAAGAGATTGGATTTATACCCCGCCCTTTACTACCCAAGGGAGTCTCAGAGTGGTTTACAAACTCCTTTCCCTTCCCCTCCCCACAACAGACACCTTGTGAGGTAGGTGGGGTTGAGAGAACTCTTGACAGAAACTGCTCTTTTTCAAGAACAGCTGTGCCAGAGTTATGGCTTGTCCAAGGTCATCCAGCCAGGTGCAAGTGGAGGAGTGGGGAATCAAACCCGGTTCTCCCAGATCAGAGTCCGCGCACTTAACCACTACACCAAACTCTCAATTTATTCCAACTTTGTTTCCTGCCATTTAGCCAATTTTTAATCCATAAAGTGCTGTGCTGCTTGGTTTTGTACAACAATGGGGAGCACAGAAAGCATTATGGAGTTGCTATATGTCTACTGGAAGGCAGGGATAGTTGTCATAATCTTCTCCTTCAACTCAGATTAATGGGGTATAAATCTGCAGGGAACCTTTGGGAGGAGGGGGATACCTGAGGTTTTATTCTATTGGTTTTAAATTGTAATCACAGTTATCTGTGGTGGGTAAACTGTCTTGAGCCACAAGAAATGGTGGGATAGAAAGATTTTGATAACATTAGGAGTTGTAATAATCTAAGTGAACATCTCTGCAGCTGACAACCAGATGTTTCCACTATCGCACCTGCACTGTAACTATAGCATTGGTGTTGTCACAGTGTCCCTGCATCTCTGTATTTCAGCCAATGCACTTGCTTGTTCCAGTAATCTCAAAATAGTGTGTTCCTTCACATTCCTTCATCTCCACACAGACAGGAGCTAAAGACTGTCCCTAGCAGCTGCACCTTATATCTGTACCCCTAATAAAAAGACCCTCAAACTCCAGCCCATTGTAATTCACAACCCGACTGAGAAACACCACTTACAGTGTTACGATTTTAGCATAAAAAGGCAATGTGTGCTTGGTGCCAGAACCGAGCCATCAACAGGATATTCCTGCCACCAGGTTACATATCCTGTGTAAGCTGTGTCATAGGGAAAGCATAAAATGCAAATGTGTGTGGAAAACACAAAAAGTCAATATAAAACATTTTGATATGTTTAACACGCGTTCTCATAAAAACCATACAGCCACATGAAATCACAACATTGCAAAGTAAATTTTCCTACACCAAGACAGAGGCTAGTGAAAAGAACGAGGGAGAGAGCCATCCTTAGATGTGGAAGTTCCATCACTAAGATACCACTTCAAGATGACTCCCATTACTTCTAGGTGGACTTCTGGTAGCACCCTCACCTTAGCCTGCTCAGCAGACCTTAAGAACATCAGAAGACCCCTGCTGGATCATACCAATAGTCCATCCAGTCCAGCACCCTGTCTCAGACAGTGGTCAATCAGTTCCTCTGGAGGGCCAAAACCTTGCCCTGATATTCCGTGCTGACTCTGGGATTCAGAGGTTTAGTGCCTCTGAACGTGGAGTTCCCCTCAGTCACCATGGCCAGGAGCCACTGACAGACCTATCCTCCATGAATCTGTCTAATCACCTTTTAAAGCTGTTAATTCTGTGGCCATCACTACATCCTCTGGCAGCGAATTCCACATTTTAATCACTTTAATCCTTAAAACAGAAGGGAGGAGGTATTCCTTCTGATAACCAAGGCCCAAGCTACATAGGACTCTAAACAACTTTCAATTGTACTTGGAAACCAAATGGTAACTGGAATAGCTCTTAATGATGGTCACAATATAGTCTCTTAGCTCTTAGTTAGAAGCCTGGTTGTAATATCTGGTACAGATGTAGTTTCCAAACAAAGGCAACCCCACAGAACATACTATGTTGATCAAAAGGTTACAACATGTGAGTGGCAAAGGCCAAGAGAGCTGGTACAGATGATGTAGGAACTCTGTTCTATAGCCACCACCTAAGTGTCAAGCAGCAGATGCTACCAAAAAATCGGATAACTCTTAGCCTCCTGCCCTGCTTTCTGAGCTTCTAGAGGCATCCAGATGGCACAATGCTTAGTCTGATCCAGCCATAGAGAACAAGAACATGCACCCAGTATTTTATACACAGACCAGTCAATATGTATCATCCTCACTTTGAAACAGACTGCAGAAAAAGAACTTGATGAATTCACATTCCACCATGCTTCTCAAGCCATGTGAAGAAAGGCACATTAGAAATCCTGTAAACAAACAATTAATACTTAATGTTCGGATAATTATTTTTAAAAATTTGGATTAATTCTTGATCTATATTTTGTCTACAATATAAGTTTATGTAAAATCTTTTGGCATTTTCTTTCAAATCTTTAAGAGCATGTTTTTCTTCTCCAAATTCGTTCTTTAATGTTCTTATGAGTTTTCTTTCTTCTTCCTGTTTTAATCTATAATGCAAGCCAACGAGTAGGCTTGTTAGCGTTTTCAAAAAAATTCTGTTTAGCAAAGAGAATCTTTTCCGCTAATTCTTCATTAAGTAAACAGTTGATTTTGTGATTGTAGTCTTTGGATTTTAAACTTCAGTTGATTTTGAGTGGGGTCAATTTTCAATTTATCCTCGTTTTTCTGAATCTGATTTTTTAGTTGATTATACTTTTGATTTTCACGTTTCCTCTTATTGATCGATTCGCGGATAAAAATCCCGCGGGCAAATGCTTTAAATGCATCCCAAACAATAGCCGAATGAGTTTCTGACTGCAAGTTAATCTGAAAAAAATTCTTTCTCTGAGCTGCCAGTTTGTCTACAGTTTCCATATCTTTGCATCAACATGTATGATTGTTCAGGAGGAGCTGCACAAGAGTTCTGGACATATATTCAGCCATTGTTTGGCTTCCTAGCTTACTAATAATATTTACATAGTGCCACCAGTATTCATGGTGCTCTACAGAGTAGCATCTACAGAGCAGACAGGTCCCGGCCCCAAGACAAATTGCAGTATCAGTTTTGACAGAGAGAAAAAAGAGGAAGGGGAGAAGCCAGGTAGCAAGCAACAAAGGGCAGCAACTACAATTATATGCACTTAGGCTTTGTTTCAGTTGGTGGTAAAGATTGGAAATAACATAGGTCAAAACTAGCAGGTATCAAGAACCAAATCTTCTGTCTACAGGGGAATAGACCCTATTTAGGTAAAGGTAAAGGTTCCCTTGCTCGAAAGCCAGTTGAATCGGACTCGGGTTGCAGTGCTCATCTCCGTTTCAAAGCCGAAGAGCCAGCGCTGTCTGAAGACGTTTCCGTGGTCATGTGGCCGGCATGACTAAACACCAAGGCACACGGAACGCTGTTACCTTCCCACCGAAGTGGTACCTATTTA